GGGAAAGAACCATCTTAAGCTTATATATTTGAGTGGTGAAAAGGAGGATCTCTTTATAAGAAAACACAATACATCAGTTATTACAGATACTTGATTCTGGAAAAGGCTATCATGCCTCTTTGAAACAGGAATACAGTAATTGCATTTTTCTCCATTTCGTTTATTCTCATTAATTTATACACCTAACAGCAGCTTGATATTCAAGTGCAGGAGCAGAATTCCATACAATTTAATTGATACAGTGTTAGAAAGGAACAAATATGGCCATTCCAGGCAGGAGGCAAGAGCCATTCACACATCCAAAGTAATGTAGCATTCTGGTCAGTAGTTGTTAGCCCTTACACTGAGGGCTAATACTGTACAGACCACAGGCCTTTTCAAGCATAGTTTATTTTTGTGGAAACCTTCAAGAAGTCTGTGGAACTCACTCTTCCATGTTTCCTAAAGAAAAATACACCTGCACGGTATGGTACTATGTGAAACCCATCAGGCGAAGGTCGATACCAGGCGCACCGATTATGCTTCACAGAATAGCACAGAACAGAGAAACTTTTCTCATCCAACTTGAAGTTACATACCATATTCCATTATAAATCTCTGCATGTCTTGTAAGACCTATCCACAGAACTACGCACGTGCAGTAGACCAGCTCTGAGCAAGAGTACAGGTACTCCGTTTAGCACACATTTGCACGTCATTTCCATGTGGCTCTTCATGGTTAAACATTGGAACAGGCTGCCCAGGGAAGTGGTTGAGTCCCCATCCCTGGAAGTATTTAAAAGACGGGTAGATGAGGCGCTTAGGGACATGGTTTAGTGGGCATGGTGGTGTTGGGTTGACGGACTCGATGATCTTGGAGGTCTCTTCCAACCTTAATGATTCTATGATTCTATGATTCTGGTTTCCATTTCTCTCGTATTTCCTACCAGTGTGGATGGACATAAGCAGATAAGAAGTGTTCACTCTGTTGTATGCCCAAGCCCCGTGGGGAAAAAAGAAAGATACATTTTATAGGCATATAGATTATTTAACATCCTCATGGAATCGTACAGCTTTTATTTTCCTGCCTGAAGAAAATGGACATAGGAGAACGTGTGGGAAATAGAAGTAAATTAGTAGCGTGGATTTGGTTGACTCAGAAAATACGCGTCGATGAGGAGACGTGGGTCTGTGATGAGAAGTGGTCAGTTTCCACTGACGCCTCAGGGCTGCAGATTGTACTATAAACTTATTAGTGAAGTGGCGACAGCAGCACCATCCTTTCCCTCCGAGCTGGAAGTTGCTGATTGTTTGTTCTCGGTGCCAGCCCCATTGTGGGCAATCCTCGGTGCTTTCCACTGCAAAGTGCACGTTTCAAGGCAATATATGTGAACTCTAGAGAGCGAATCCTTCCCCCGCCTGCTGCCTAATGACTACGCTACTGTCTCAAGGGGTGAACGATTTCTCACATACTGTCTACTTCTGTGAGCACTGATAAAACATTCCATGACAACGTAAGTCACTTTTGCATTATTACAGTAATGACAGTGGTTATGGGCCTCATTCAACACACTGTTCCCCCCAAAGGTACTGGAAAAACTCCCATTTAATGAGACTTAGGCTGGACGTGTATCAGCCAGCCTGGTCTGGTGGATGACACTGACATTCGCTTAGATCCTAATCTCACCGACTTCTGAAGTCTGCAGCAGTTTGTCGTTTCCATTGCACCCGGGGTACTGCAAGGCACCGTGTACAGCAGTTCTCTAGGTACATTTCCATGAGTGACTAATGCTGACAGTAGCACATTGACTATTTCCTCATAAGAGTTGAACACAACTATTTAAGACTAAAGATTAACTTCCTCGGAGTTTAAAACTGTTAATTTGTCAAATTTGAGAACTGAGGTTAAGTTTGGCCGTAGCTATAAATTAACTTATACGATAGCTATCAATTTTTTACTTTCCTGGGATTTTCCATTTCAAAGACATTGAAAGAAGCAGAAAAGTACATTGCTAATCACATCAAGAAGATGGAAGCATTTTGTTTGTTTTACCAAGTCATACGCTTTCTTGAAATTTCAGTCCTCTTAATTTGTTTGGAAGTCCAAATTATGGTGTACTGTTAAGTATATACATACAGGTAATACATGAACTTCTGGAGGTCACAAGCACTTAAAAAAATTATAGAGATACTGTTATTTTCAACCATGCAGACAAATTCATTTAGTACAAGAAGTGAAATAGTTCTTTGCACTAGCTCAATGGTATTTCTATAGGATGCAGATCGTGTATGAGATTCGGCATGGCTATGACCTGTAGCTCAAGAGTAGTTAGGAAAAACAAAGTTACTATAAAAGAGGAACTATTTAAAAATCTAATACCTCACGAAGTACTGAATTAAAAACATACCTTGCAGATATGCATGTAGATTGTCATTTGTTCAAGCAAACTGGTGCCTGACTGATTAATCAGTGACAAACAAATGCAGATGTGCTTAAACAGTGCTGCATATCTTGCCAAAATGGGAGAAAAGAGGCTGGGCAGAAGGTTATCCATGCATGTAGATTTATTGCAGAGATACAAAGTGTCAAAATGTCTTTTTAGATTACCCTGATATACTCCATTTGTAACCTGAAAAGTTACAGCGCTTTTTAAGGCAGTATTTAAAAATGTAATTGATTTGAAGAAAAGTTAGCTTTCAACTAGCACCTGGTCTAGGCTTGCTTGTCCACCTGGCTTGTTTAAAAAACATGCCGGCTTTGGAAAAAGGTTTATAGATGTGCAGCAGTCGGTTGCTTATGTGCAGCACTCTGTGCATACACCACTGGGTAAGCGCATGAGCAGTCAGCTGGGTGCGTTTGGCATGCGTCCAAGTTGCCCTGCACGTATATATCAACTGCACAAGGGTCCCCCCCGTGAGCTCTGAGCTGGGGTCTTTGTCACACTGCTTCTTCTCCTGGCCTCCTCCCCTCTCCGCTGGAAAAAATCATTTGTCTTGCTTGCTTGCTAGGCATCCTGGGTGGAAGTCAGCAGCCCTGATCAGGGAAGCCAGTCATGTCCTCTGAGGTTGTTCCTGCTGGGCATCGTGTGCCTTCGATGTACTTTGACACCGGCTCCATGTGATTCTGAGGGAAAGAACTGATCTACAGTGGTTTACAGCGGGGAGAAATGGTGATGCTGCCTATCGACGCTCAGTTCCATTGGCCTTCTGGAAACAATGCTTGGCTTTTCCGCTCTGTTCCTATGTTCTCCAGTATTTTCCCCAAAGGTACAACAAAGTTCAAATGCTTGTTATTGAAGCAATGCACATGAATTTAGCATGAAACTGATAACATTCACGTTCTTTTAAGATTTAAGTTACAAATTTTACAGAAAACTGGTAGTCTTCCATACATCCGTACATATTTTAGTGCTCCCCTTTTGATGCGTGTGCATACAGTGTGTTAATTTAAGCCGTCATGAGAAATGAATACATCACTTTTTTGTTTTCACAGGCATAGAGTGAACGTCTAAGCTGATAATGTATCCAATAGTTTTGTACTCAGGGCTGGTTGCCTAGTGAGAGTAAACAGATGCCCAGGAATCAGCTTGATTTAATGACTTTTAAAGATGGGATATCAAGTCCTTTGACAAGGATAGAAGCCATCAAGTGGCTTCTAAAAACAAGATAAAATTAGTGAAACAGTAAGTTCTCCGTTACCTGAAAGTCCAAGTATTCTTACACAGTAAATACTGGTTATTGTTTTCCATAAATTCAGTCCCACAGTTAAAATTTTCTCACTGGTAGTCATTCTTGCGAAGGTCTTTGGGTTTGCAGTCTTAAGACACACTTCTCAGTGCTAAAGGACCAACTGAAAGTAATTTTGAAGCGATCTTCAATTTAGGAACTAACCATTAATCGGAGTGGCTGCAGGGGGAGTACAGTAGCAGGGCGGAATAAAATAATCCTGTCTTGCTGCCCAGATTGCAAAGACTGTTGAAGTACTTGCGATACATTTCAGTTTCTGAAGTCTTTCTCCTCTGCATTTATTTCTTTGTCTTGGTAAACATTTGGCTAATAATGTAAAGTGCATCATTAAAGTATTAACACCCCTGTGTGCGTATATGTATACACAGTGTGTCATGTCTACAAAACAAGAATATGTCCTTATTCAACATGCTTCCTATGAAGACCTTTTATTGCACCTCTTCTTACTCCGGTTGCTACCGTAACGATCCTCCAACAGCAAGAAAGGAGTTCTCCACCTTTATAACTGTGCTTTTCGTGCAAAGCAATGCCTCAGATGTGGGGGGTTTTGTGTGGAACGAGGCATTTGCTCTGCCGGGCTCAGGCAAGCTCCTGAGCCAGGACGCGGGAGTGGGACTGGGGCGAGGATGGGGCGACATGGCACTGGGGCCACCAGGCCGGCCCTTCAGAAGTGCTGAGAGTTCGAAGGCAAATGAGGGTCAAATCTGGAACCTGGTTTGTGGGCCCAGGGCTTCTGCATTTGCCACGCATTTCTTTTGGAGGGAGGCTTTATCCTTTATCCTCAAGGGCCCTCTGTGGGGCCAGCCAGTTTCCCAAGGAAGCCGGGTGGCAGCTTCCTTTGGGATCTGGTGGCAGCCGAGCTTCAAATTCCCCGGCTGTGGGTAACAGCACGGCGTCCCGCTACCGCAATCGCCGGCTGCTCTGGTGCGCTCTCCCTCAGACATCTTGTCTGCCTGCCTGACATTGCATCTGGGGGAAAAAAAGTTTGGCCTGGAGCACTGTGTGAAGTTTTGTATTATTCTAAAAGGGAAGAAGGAAAATTAAAACCTTGTTACGGCCTTTTTTTTTACTACAGAGAAAGGCAGTAAATAACTAACAGAAGACAGTTGTTTCTAGTGCCTGTTTTAGCTAAAATAACAGGGGTTAATTATTAAACCTTTTACTTGGTTGCTCACTTGTGCTGCTGATGCTTTAATCCTGGGTCACAGAAAGTTTAAGAGTACTTTACAGGGGAGGCTCTCTTCTTTTTGCCTCAACCTTTCCACGCTGACGGGATGTTACGGGTCTTGCTGCTTCCTCTCTCTGTAGTTGCCATTGCTCATGCTGAGCTCTGCAAGCCAGGTAAGTTTTGGAGCTGATTCCCATCCTTCCCCAGGTAAATGTAGCTATGAGTTTATACCTACAAAGCTGTCAGCTTCTCAGATTTTTATTTTAACTGGTTGTCTCCAGTTTGAAGATTGAAAAGCTGCGCATTCGCTTCTTTTATGAATTTGCAAATTAAGTGTGGAAGTTCATCTCACTTATTTTAAAGAGGTCATGGTAAACCTCACTGAGACTTTGTAGGGCTGCGGCATTTTTCATGCTAGTAACTTCTGTCCTCCTAACCAGGTGATCTGTTAAGACATGTTTAGAAGCTGTGATTTGTGAAATAATTAGAGAAGTAAATGATTTAAAATCCTATTTTGGCTGACTATCAATATATGTTTGCTTTTTTCTCTTTGTGTCAGATGCACAGAATGCTTTCAAAGTACGGCTTAGTATCAAAACAGCTTTGGGAGATAATGCAGTAAGTAAAGTATCTTCACGTATTCTTCCCAACTGAATATCTGCCTAAATAGAAGTAATATATACTGTAAAATTTCTGAAGGCAGCACAAGCAATTTGTTCTGAAGTGTTAATTGTAATAGCTTGCTCAAGTCATGATCCAGGCATCCATTTCTTGACATTTGACTAGCCCACTCCTTCAAATGGCATCTTTTAAGAGAAGTATAAAGCTTGCCTTTTCATAAAGATAATTTTCTGTCAAAGATTTTTTTTTTCCCCTGGAAAAACAGTAGGGATGTTACACTTTATGCATGAGAGGTGCTGCATAAATCTATGTCTGTATTTTGGGAAGAGCACTTCTGCTTGAGAGTGCTAATTGTAAAGTCAAGCATGTCTGGGAAGAGAAGCAGGGAAAGACTGTTAGGTCTTTATGAAATGGGACTTTATGTCAGGCTCTCAGACAAGCATGATCTGTAGAGATCATTCAAGCATATCTCATCAATTCCCTACTAATGTAGGGCTTCAGATAGTGGCCTTCTCTGCCTGTGGTGCACAGGCTAGTCTCATGAGGACTGAAATGCTTTGGCTTAATTTAAGTCCTTGGGCTTAATGTAGAAGTACTGGTGTGAGCAATAAGGGTCTCTGATATTTAAGAGGCTGGGACATTAGATGACTGAATGGTCCTTCCTGATCTAAAGTGCTATGAAATATGGCAGAGCCCAGTACTTCGTTTGCAGTTTTGAATGCTTAGAGCAAATCTGCAGTGTGTTACAGGGCTCAGCGTGAAATTAGATATGAAATGTCTTGGACAGTCATCTCCGCTGGAAGTCTGGTGTCTGATTATGTTAGAAGCCCTGGGAAACAAAAAGCAGTAGGTTACATGTTATAAGAGATTGGAGATAGGAGAATCTCCCTATGACCGTAGAAGCCGTTCTAAAATTACCCTGAAATATCAGGTAATTTAAACTAACATTAGCAGGGACCTAATTCCGCTGGTAACTTCATAAACCAGACAAATTGGGAAGAAGTATTCAAGATGCATGCTAAACTATTTGTCAGTGGAAATTCATATTGAAGTAAATTCTCTTGGGTGAGAGATTTTCATTAAACAGTAGTGCGAGCCTGGTTTGCTTAAAAATTTATTAGAAGTAGTATAATCCTATGGCTGAAAATATGTCAAAATCATTATTGAAGCTCCTCTTGATGATAACTGCTAATATTTTGATTTAATCTTGGTTCAAAATAGTAGCAAAGAATGAAAATTGCAGTTCCCAGTAATGCTCGCTCTTAGTGCTTTTTACTTCTCCAACTATAGTAAAATAAGGTGTTTTTCTTTGATCATTTATGATTTTTTTTATTTTTCATCCAAAAAGGGTGTGATACAAATCATTACTCTTAAAGGCACTTCATATTACAAGAAAAAAGCAATAACTGAGGAGTCTATTGTTTTTTGTAGATAGATAGTAGTTTGTTTCATATAACAAAGTGTGTGAAAGCCTTAAGAATGGGACAGTCTAGAACAGCATTTTAGAACAACAACATGCTGAAAGTGGTATGATGCCATCCAAAATTACCCACAAATAATGAACAATTTATTAAGTGCACAGGTGGTAGTTCCTTTTTCGTAGCCATTGCAATCTTCTCTGCAAATGACTGAAATTGGAAATGGAAACTACTATCAAACTGAAATTAATTTTGGTTGAAGAATTTGGGACACTTTTTTATTTTGTTTGTTTATTTTAGCAAAGAAAAGCGTAATACTGTCATTGTATCACAGTAGGACATAGCCAGCTTAGAATGTCTTGGTATGATGCTCTGGTACGGAATTCCGTTTCATTCATTTCCAAGTCACTTCAAGCTAGATGGTAACAGAAAACCCTGATACTGTGGTCATTTTGCTCTAGGACTGGCAGGAGAACTCCAGTGTACGTTCAGGGGCGTAGGAAATAGGTTAGTGTAGTTTTCCACCTGATTTAGTGCATGCCAGCCACTTTGTGGGAGGCTGATAAGGACAGGACACCATTTTTTAATTTGTTCACAAGGTAGGCTGTACTTTGAGGCAGGGAGTGCCATTTAGTGTATTTATACAGTTCTTATCACAATGGAGCTGGAAATAGCTGCTAAGATACAGTAAGTGTTTAGCTGTTATCATTTTATTTGCAAATAATGGGTGTACTTGACAGAGACATTGTTTGCTAACCGGTGGGAGGAGACATGGTGTCTTATAAGCCTAAATGGAAGGAAGGTGATTTATGAGTCTCTCTGAGGATGGTGTTAACTTTATGAGTGGCTTCTGGAATAGCTGCTATTCCAGTCACTAGTTGCTTCCTACTCATGGAGTTAGCAGAGTGGTAGAGAGTTAATTCAAAAGGGCCAAAGACAACTAGGGAACGAGCAGAAGTGATGTGCACTGAGAAGTCTATGTAACTCTGTGCCACCACTCAATTTAACAGTAAGAGTCAAAGAGCTGGCACCTCAGGGGCTGCAGCCAGGTGAAGTAGAAGGTGCGCTTCCCTTCTGGCTCATGTATTCAGGCTGTTTCCAGGGCAGAGGATGAAAGGGAGAAAGGCTGACGTGCACCTGGTGTCTTGCCACCAGAGGGGACCCAGAAGTGTGTTCATGTGTCTGTAGCCACACTGCAGTCTGAACAGCTGTCTAGTCAAAAGACAGAACCATTCAGGAGGGAAGGTTTGCATTTGGAGAATAAAGGTGAAACTGATAAAGCCCTATAGTAGAACGATTCTTTGGTTTCTTTGCACCTATCCCTCTGAGTGGAGAAAGCCGATGAATAGAAATTGGCTTCTGGCAATTCGTGCCCACTTGTCCTGAGTTCATACAGTTTATTAGCTTAAAGGTATTCTTGCCATACTTTTCCTCCTCAATATGTTGCCTCCCCCCTGCCTATTCCTGCATGCAGTCATGTACAGAGGTTCTTGTTCATATGGAGCCCACAGCCATCTCCATCTCCTCTACCTCCCGTCTGATCACTGTTTTCTTGGGCATTGTTTGCTAACAATGCAAACAGAAGGTTGTCTGCAGCATCTTCCCCTCACTCAAGCAGACCCCTGATTTCTGCTGAGCTTCCTCTGCCAGTCTCCTCTCCCATTTCTTGCAGCTTTCTGTTTATTCTGTCTTTTTTAAAGTGCTTACTCTTTCAGCTGGAGCTGGAGTTCCTCACTACAAATTATTTTCCCTGTTTTGAGATACCCTTTTTGTTACTCTGACTTAAAGAAGCTCTAGGCTACTGCATTATTTATGAAAACTGAATACTTGATAGTGACAAATTGTGCATATATACATGTACTGCACTAAACATAAATATATCAAGTACATATACATGGTAGTGCTGCATTGTGTTTCTGTCCATGTAAGCATGAAATGGAGTGTGCTTCATCATTATCTATTTTCAAGACAACTGATTAAATTATCTCTACAACTGGTTTAATCCACTGGGTAACAAATGATTTTTTTCTGTCCTTTTGGACCTGTTCTCAAAGACTGCAGATGGCATGTGGGGATTCAGTCAATAGTACTACACACAGAAAAAGGAAGATCTTCCCTTTTAGTGCTGCAACTTGTGCTCCATGGTTTAAATACAGATGTCTTTAAAATTACAACAAATAGTTTTATGGCTCTCATCTATATTAATTCCTCTACTACATTATCTCTTTTTCTTTTAGTACTAGTTGCTGCCATTACTGTCACATTTTCATCAGTGCAGTGGGATCAAAATACAGGCTTTTATAATTTCTTTTCAAAGAGTCTCTCTTTTTCTTTTTTCAGTTTAAGTTCCCAGACTGGCATGCATTATCACAGTATGCTTACACGTCCCTTCATTCACAAGGCAAGAGTGGTGAGTCAGAACCCAGATTCTCAGCACTGCATCTGGATTTTAATGCTACTCAAGTTGTCTGTTGCTCAGCTTTGTTGTCCCTGTCCTACTGCATCTCAGAGAGCCCATTTCACAACTCATCATTTGTCTAGGGATGATAAATATGATCAGTATGACTTTCTGCCCTTTAAATGACTGCTGTCTTCCCTGCTTAGGTTCCCAGTCCACAGGATGTCAGAGCAAAATGAGGGCTGATGCCTGGAAGTTGGATTCCTTCTTTCTGCGGAGAGGTTGCAGCTCCATGCATCCCAAATCAGAATTTAAAAACCAGAATTAAGATTTGGCATTTTCAATGCTGTTTACTACTTTTTGATGTACATTGCTGGGTTTTGAATGTTTTATAAAGGCCCGTGAAAAAGTAGGTCCAAGTTGTCAACAGGGTTAAGTATCCACACCATTGGGTTTCTAGTTTGGATGATTACATTGCAGATTTTATTAATGCTGAAAGTTAAAGATCAGATTTGTGTTCTGATTGACTGAAGAAAGCTGCCTCTAACCTGCATTAATATCTTTCCAGGAAACTATTAATCTTTGTAATCTGCTGAAAGGGGAAATTCAATCAGTATGCCTCAGTCATGGCTCTTGTTATAAAAATGTAATAGGTGCAGTTCTTACAGGTCATTGTAATTGCATATGTGAATGAAAGCCCAGGGGAACCTAGTGAAGCTATCTCAGAAAACTGAAATTATGGAAGCATGATTTTTCACCAAGGCAACAGAGAACAGTTTTTGGAGCCTGTATTTTGCTTCTTATTGAAGTAGTAAGGATGCTATTTTCTTTCTTTTGTCTCATGTGTGATGTAGTAACTTGTACTATAGTTGAGTCTGTCTTCTTGTAGCAAGGGTGGTGTGCAGCAATAAGGCCATAGTATCATTTTATTTCCTGGTGTCCTGACATCCAACTCCCAGAGACTACCTTCAACGTTAGCTTTTTTTTATTTTTGGGCAAAGCCAAATGGTCTTTGAGAGTGGATTTAAACCTTCTACTTTAACAGGATTTATCCAGCGAAAGAGGCAAGGCCGTGGGTGCAGCTGTGTGGGAGAATTCTAGTAATATGCCTAGTCTTTGGTACAAGAAACTTTACATCTCCAGTTCGGTCAGCTTTCAGAAACATTCAATTCATTCAGTTTTTGGAAACAATCTTTGTACTTTATATTGCACTTTATAACAGGCGTTAGAAAAAATCCTTTGTGCACACTAAATAATGGGCAGGAATTTATTTTTGTAGCACAACCAGAGAATTTATTCATTTTCTTGATCAAGACAGCATTTCAAGTTCAGTGAGTCTTTTCCCTCTCTGTACTGCCAGCACTGGTGCTGAAACCGATTGTTTTCCATCTTCCTTTACAGTACGCCTGGGATGCTAATGAAGAGTACCTCTTCAAAGCAATGGTGGCTTTTGCATTGAGAAGACATTCCAGCAAGAGCACAACTCAGTAAGCATCTACTCTGATTTGCCTTATACATATTAACTATGCTGCATGTAGTGGCCCATTCTCTGCTGTACTGAACTGTAGAAATCATTATATACAGCTTCTGAAAACAGACTGTTCCAGTATATTTCTTTGACACCCAGATATATGTTAAACACCACACTCTCTCTGCCTTAAGCAATGTTCAATCTTTGGACCAGTACCCCTGTTGATGTGTCCTGGTTTCGGCTGGGATAGAGTTAATTTTCTTACTAGTAGCTGGTACAGTGTTGTGTTTTGGATTTAGTATGAGAATAATGTTGATAACACACTGATGTTTTAGTTGTTGCTGAGCAGTGCTTACACTCAGTCAAGGACTTTTCAGCTTCTCATACTGCCCTGCCAGCAAGGAGGCTGGAGGTGCACAAGAAGCTGGGAGGGGACACAGCCAGGACAGCTGACCCAAACTGGCCAAAGGGATATTCCATACCATGTGACGTCATGCTCAGTATATAAACTGGGGGGAGTTGGCTGGCGGGGCACGGCCGCTGCTCAGGGACTGGCTGGGCATCGGTCGGCAGGTGGTGAGCAATTGCATTATGCATTACTTGTTTTGTATATTCTTTTATCACTATTATTATTTTCCCTTCCTTTTCTGTCCTATTAAATTGTCTTTATCTCAACCCACGAGTTTTACCTTTTTTCTGATTCTCTCCCCCATCCCACTGGGGGGGAGTGAGCGCACACTGTGTGGCGTTTAGCTGCCTGCCAGGTTAAACCACGACATGATGTGAAGTGGATGATCCACAGTGGGATTGTGCCAATTCACTCTAGCAGCATTTGGCAGTAAGACATGATACCTTCTGGAGACCATACTGGGAGGAAGCAAAGGGACATATTGGCAAGGTCAAGAAATGCAGTACAGGTCCTTGAATAAGCAGCTTTGGTGCACATTTTATTAGAGCACAGCTTCAGCAGCATGCTGAAGATGAGCTGACTCAGAGAACTGGAAGGTGGATAGCTATGCTAGTGCTGTGTTCTGCTGGGGGTATCTATCTCTAGTATTGCAGCGGTTGAGTTACCTAGCATCAAGAAGTTTCAGATGTTGCAGTTCAGACATAAATCAGCCTGTAATTGGTTTTGGGATTAAATCTACCTTGAGGTATTGAATATTATTCTCGGGCTTCTGATCCTTGCTACTTACGAAATTAGATACCAGATTAGACAGACCATTTAGCAAGCTGTATTTTCAGTATGTTCTTATCTTTCTTAAATGAGAAACCTTGTAAGTGTGTTTCTATAGGCCTATTATTTTTTTCATTGTTTTTCAATCTTAAAGGAAAGATTTATGGTTCTGGTAGGCTAATGAGGATAAGGTTCTCAATTTACTTTAAAAAAAACCTGCTCCAGGCTGTCATTGCATCAGATGAAGCATATTCCACATTTGCAAAGATATTAGTTAACTTGAGTCACATGATGATTATTGTGGCTGCTGCACTTTCTCTTAAACAGAAGGTGATTTCCCCCTCCATGTAACAGGAGTGTTTGGCTCCTTGCTATTTTGTTTTTATTCCTCAGAAGTTGTCTCCTTTGAGCAAGAGAGCTGTTACACCAAGCTTAACAAAAACAGCCAAGTATGCTACTGCACCCAATTAAAATGACACTTAAAGTTAGTTCAAGATACAAGCTAATTAAAGGTGATTATGCAGGGCTTTTTCTCAGGTTTTCAAATTAGCAGAGTTTTCATCCAGTATCTGATCCATAAAGATTCAATTTTGTATATTTTAGTCCCAGGTCCTTTTTTTAAATTATTCTCTTCCTTCAAAGTCATGGTGCTTTCACACAGCAAAACACCTGTGTCAGAAGCCAGTGATCTTTTTTCTCTTCGGGCACCATGGCTCTCTGCAGATTCAACTAATATTAGAAAGCTTGGTGCAGGAATAGGAAAAAATGAAGCTAGTATGAAAGGAGTTAAAGTTTTAATGGAAGTTATCTTTATCCACTCTGGGAAATCACAGAATTTATGCTCACTTAATTCAGTTTCCTACCAAGACAATTTTTTCTATGGACAAATAACGTCAGTGTTACTTCAGTTTGGAGGTGGGGTTGCACACATCAATAATTTCCTGCTACTATGTTTGTCAGAAGAGAAGTCAGTATAATATTTGGAAACAGCTAGGTGTGGGCATCTTTACCTCTTTTTAAGATGGTATAGGACTTCCTCATGGGGTATAACTTGTTGGGGTGTACCTTGGAGGTATAACTGGTAACTCTTCTAGGACTTCTAGATACCTTTTGGGTCATGTGTAGACAGCATGTCAACCAAAGGACAGCTGTGTAGCTCTGAGATCTGGTACAACTTACTAGGCAACTGACGGAGGAGTTTCTTATCTGTCGATCTCTCCCAAATCCCCAGGGACCTCAGAATCCCCATTCAGTGATGGAGAACTAGCTGAACCTCCCAGTACACCCCAAATAACCTGCCTGTTACACGGGAGCAGGAAAGCTATGAAAGCCTCCATCCTGTTAGAAGTCCTGGAAATAGCGCACTCCTTTCCCCAGCCTTGTGGCTGGCAGCTGGAAGGAAATGAGTATAGAGGAAGGAGTGCAGTCCATCTCCCTCCCCTCTGCAGTGGGTATGGAGGTGTGGGAGCACTCAGCGTCCCAGATGGTATAGCAGCATGCCGTGCACACAGGAACGGCACTCTTGCATAGCTGGTAAGGATAGTGGCAGGGGCTTGCAGTGTGGTGAAGAGGGAGGCAGAAGCAGGAGCTTGTGGCAAATAAATTGCATTTATCACTATGTGAGCTTTTACAGATAAATGCCAACAGATTTTCTTTGGGAGCTGTAAAAGATCAATGATCAATTATGCTGTCATAAAAGAACAAACAAATTGTTTGTGACTGCATTCTGGTAGCATCTAAATGTACCCAGATTTTGTGTCTGGTTAATTAAAGATTTTTGTCAAAAGAAAGACTTATGAAAAATTCACCAGTATTTTACATAACCAAATACCGATTCTGTCAGGGTATAAATCCGCACAGGGCCATACCCAGGATGTGACAAACCTCCCCTTTAACATCCCATTAATTTCTAACACACCCACAGCCCTGCAGTAACTCACAGCCACAACTAACTCCCACATGAGACCAAATGCCATTAATTTCAGCAAACTGGATCCGGCCCGAAAATAATTTGTCTAGTGGATCAGCATAACCATTGTTGCAGTCTGTCCCATCATTTTTGAGATTCAAAGTCACCTTTTGTTAGGCTTCTGAAGCTGGATAAAAGCCAGCCTGTGATGACAGGCATTTGAATGTGCTGCTGGAAGCAGCAGTTGATGCTGTTGTTGCCCTTGTGTAACCACTGAGTGACCCAAGGCAGAATGGACAGGATTGCACATTACATCTCGAGTTCTCTAAAGTTAATTTCTAAACTAAAATTTAATAAATCATGGAGCTGTGTTTAATGTTTGAAAGGCTTGTCAAATTTTCAAGTTTGTGTGAAACAGAAGAAAGACACAATACATTAAATTACTCAGTAATTATTAATACAGATAAAATAAATACTTCTTTTTCAGTGGAGAAAGGAAACCCCTTTATTTCCTGCTCTATATACGGCCTTTCAATTCATTCTCAATACATACATCCATGAACTACGTAAGCCAACCTTTGATATCTCAGTGTTAAAAAATTATTGTCTGTAGTTTGTGTTAGTAACGCTGGTTTCTCTAATCTGTGACTCATTTGAAACAATACGCATCTCTTTTGGGCCTGAGACTAGTTAATCTTTTGAGCAGAATGTCATCACATTTACTTTCATTCAAGTAACAGAATCTACTTTTGGTACATCTTTCCCCCCTTTGTAGATAAAAAAAGCTGCAGTTTTCCTCATGAAGTGACAAAAAAAAAAATTGTCAACATTATCCATCTTCCTAAGACGCTATTTTGATACTAAAAATATTGTGACTATTTAGAACAACAAAATAAGCTTCTAGAGTTAAAGCTGTTACATCAAGGTGCTCCCATGGCTGCTGTTCACAAAAAGGAAGAAAATAACGTTCCTTTGCAGGAGCAGCTCCACAGCACTGGGTTGGAAGAGGCCTGTTGCTTTCGGGAGAGCTGGAGATAGGCACCTGGGACTTGGGGACTGTGGTTCTCCCACGAGCTAACGGCCGCTGTAGGCACCCAGCTCCCTTTGAGTCCCTGGCAGCTCTTTATAACTGCTAAACAATCCTTTAAATCTCCATAAGGAACAATGATGGTGTTTCAGGCCAAGGAACCGTCAGGGTTTCCTGCACTCGAGTCACTGGTGTTCACTTGCGTGTATTAAAGGAAATGCAATTTTGGACTTTTGCCATGGTGCCATAAAGCAGAACCAGGATCTTGTCATTTTGATGATAACAGTCTCCTATAATTCCCATGGCAAAAGTCTATCACCTGCTAAGGAAATAAAAAGATGTCCACAGATATGTTTAGAAATACACTTAATTAGCATAGTGCATGGAGAAGTCAGGTTTCTCAAATCTAAACAGTGTAAAGGCATAGCTTTGTAATGCTTCTGCATGCTATGAATCAAACCTGCATGCAAATAGCACAGGGAAAAAAAAAAAAGGTGTACCTGCTGCAAAGAAATTGCCACATCGGTGCTTGTTGAACCAGTCTGTTTTGGTGTTTACTCAATCCCCTTTGAACTTCTCGTGAGTGGTGTTATTCTCTTTGGAGCCTGGAAGGATTTACAGCATTCAGATTCCGCTGATGAAAAAGTGGCAGCAGTGAAGCCAGGTTTTGGATGCTTATCATTGAGCAAGGATTTTAGACACAACAGGCAGCAGAAAGGAGGCAAAATTTACGTATCCTAGTGTAAGCCTTGCCACCCAATTGATTCAATGCTGTTTGTTCGAGAGAGAGAGAGATGCTACCCCTAATGATGACCGACTGCCCTATCTCACGCTAAAAGCCTTGGCGCTGTAGGGAAGACCCCAGGTTGAAGAGTCTCTTTAAGTCTCTGAACGAGAATGAGAAAGTCAGGGTGTTCTGCCAGTCTTTATCTACCAAATTTATCTTTCTCTTTGGGGATCAGGCTTTCCTCACTCACCCCATTTCAAGAACATCCGTAGGGCAACACGAACCCAGATTTTCTACCTGGACCAGTTTTTGATTGCGCCACAGAAATTCCAGCTTTAAGAACTGCAGTAACATGAAGCTTTAAGTCCTACTGTTATAAATTCTCCTGATGGAAAACTTCCTCTGCAGATTCAATTGTAGATATTCTGTGAAGTCAGCAAGAGTTTGTCAGCCACCAGCCAAAAGCAGACTCTTTTTCTTTCCCCTCCTGTGAATTTTGTGCTTTGCTTTTGTTTTGGGAGGAATAAATCTGCTTTCATCTTCTGACTGTTGCCAGCAAACTGCTGTGGACATCTTTTCAAATTCCAGAGGATGGCTTTCCTCTTATAGCCATAGAAATTCTCTGTATTTGCAAAATTGACATTGTTCCAGAGAGGTAAAAGTGGGTATTTCAGCTCTGCAGAATCATTGCTTTCCATCTTATTGCGTATCTCTGTGGAATATATACCTTCTCTGTAAAACGAAAGGTTGCGCTACCCAAGGCACTCAAAACACCACCTGAAAAAGCTTTCAGCAGTAAGTAAAATATTTCTGCAAAATACTGAACTACTGTGATCAAGCCAATGCCTGTCCTGCCTTAGAAACGAACTCGTTCTTCTCCAGATGGAGACTACACATAAATCGGCAATTTTGGCTCCCTTACATTCCTTCCTACCTCATGCTTCCTGCTCCTCAGGCCACTGCGGGGGTCATTTAATTATGTTTGTAATTAGCCAGCAGGTGGCACTACAAAACAGAGCTCTGTGGCAGGGGGAGGTTGCTTGCAGCCGGGGGTTTGTCACCCTGAGGAAGAGCACAGGCTGGAAAGGAAATGTTAGAACTTGCATTTTGATGATGGACAGGCCAAACCTTAAAACCAATTACGGGAGTTAGTAATGGGCATTACAAACCGAAGTTAATTAAAAGACGGGCTGCATTCTTCTTTGCTGGCTTACTGCAGGGTTTCCTTCTCCAGTACAGTAGGTAGCATCTGAAGACTGATCGTCCCAAGCAGGGTCTGTCAAGACGGGGCGGCTGTGTTGTGCTTGTGGCCAGATAGACCTTGTGCAAAGGTGAACCAAGTCCAGGCTGCTCCCTGGAAGTAAAAATGATCCTAACTCTTGGTTCTGGACTTCCAGAATGTCTGCTCGCTGCTTGGGCATGGCCAGCAAATCTGAATCCTGAACCAAATTCTTGGGGTTATTTATTAATGATATAGAACTAAACATTTTTCTCCATTTTTTATCTCTCTAGCTATCTGTCATTGAATTCATAATGGCTTTGGCTGTCCTTTTATGATACATGCCATGCTATGTTCCTTGCCACGCTGTAATTAATAAATGCCACCTTATACAATTCCTGTATATTACATGAGTTTGGCTGGTTTGTTTCTTAGTTGTGTGAATAAACTAGGAACAGGTAGAAGAACATAGGGGCACCATCTATCCTCAGTCACTATTATGATACTAATGTATTAGCCTTCACTTCTTTAATTTAAATACTCATGATGATGTCATTCCATGAGTTTTTTCTAATGATATTTCCACCATTTACTAGTTTTAGTGGTGGAAGACAAATTTGTAAGAATCTGAAAAAAAGCATTTAAAAGACATTTTGCATACTTTTTACATAGTATGCCATGTGAAGCTGCGTGCCTGTGCCCTTCCATTATTAACTTCACATAAAGCTGAGCAATCTCCTTTTAAAACAGATAAGAGAAATATTTATTGTAGCATAAGCTAAAGGGCATGGGCCAGTGCCAGTATAATGTTGAAATTTAGCCTGTTGCCTCCACTCTGTGCCTGACAGTGCAGAAAGATGTCAAAAAGAATAACATCAATTTCATTACTCTTTCCTCCAACAAATGCATGGTGTAGAAGGGCTGCACTCACCTGAAAATCATGTGGGGAATCCCCCATGCCTAGCTCCTGTGGTATTAGCTGTCAAAAACTAAATTTTTAGTTCTTCAGTGCATTTTCTCCATTATATGGTCTTTGTCACAGTCCTGATGATTAAGATGCAAATATGTATTTTTCCATTTGATTCCGCTAAATGTATGTCCAAGACCAGGCAAGATCGTAATAGATTCAGAATTTGCTTGAAGACTCAATTTTGGTCTCAATAAGCTTAAATTTTTAAAAAACATATTGGGAAATGGGAAATGCTGAGTGATATTTCTTCCTTGGGTCACCTTTTTGAAATGTAAGAATTTTTCCCCTTCTAGATGAAAGCAATATTTTAAGAAAATCTGAAATATTTGAATAATTCCTTTCATGCTTCTTTAATGATGATTTTTGTTTTAACCATCCACAGAATTTCCAATGTGCTGCTCTGCAATGTGACAGATCGGGTGTCATTTTGGTTTGTGGTCACAGATTCTTCCAAAAACGTGACAACTGTTCCTGGAAGTGAGGTAGAGGCAGCCATCAGGTACAATCACTGCTTCTGCAGCCTTTTCTTCCTTGCTGACTGGGGAAGCTTTCTCTCTCTGGGCCTTGTATGCGTGAGCACTCTGCCTCTTTAAGGATAAACTAATGCAAGTAGCTAAAACACCAAGGGGTCAGTACTCTTTCATGCATGTGAGATTAGAAGGATTTTTAACAGTCCCGCAAAATGCAAAGCGTATGACCCTTGGGATTATAACTTTGGAAGGAGTCTCCCTTCATGCTGGAGCCTCAGGTGAAATCTAGTCCCTTTCCAGAGCCCTACCTGTAATTTGCTGTCTAGTGCGTGGCACATACACTGTTCTCATCCTGCTGCTACGTTTCCCAGCCAGAGCCTGCTTCCTCAGATGATGGAATTGCACACTTTCTGGGTGGGATTTATGTAATTTAATTTTCATTGCATGCCACATGCACATCTACACCTGGACTAATGACCACAGGCTCCCTTTCAATGCTTCTCAAGTACAGTTCATCTGACTTACTTTAGAAGTCAGCTTTCACATGAGGAGAGCTCGTGTGAACTCTTCATGAGCAGAGCTGGCTGTGTCCCGGCTTGGCTTAAACAATTTTATACTCACATTCCTTTCATACCAGCTCTTCATAGAATCCCAGTCACTATTGTAGCTGAGCATTGCTTTTACAAAGTACCATGCGGTACAAATCAGTTTGCTTTCTACTAAATATCGCATTCTGTAGCCAATAAAAGCAGGAGTGTGGAACTGAAGAGGGAAAAAGTAAAAATAGGTAATCTGACTTCAGTGGTCCACCAAACCTGTATAAGGGGTTTATAGGGATGACTCCCACAAGTGGCATAACTCATGTACATTTCTCAAGCACGGAGTGGAAAACAGACCTCTTTGTTTTTGGACATTCTGTACTTTGTCTTGAAAATTCATGTTATCTCTATGGAGGTGTAATGCCTAATTCCTGATGAATGAGTATGCGTTCTTCTGGACAGATTAACTTTTAAGCTTATGAGCAGATTAAACTATTTCCTACAGAGACACCAAACAATGGCTTCATAGCATTAGTGGATGAAGCAGATTATTTATTCACTGAAGCTCTCTGTAAGAGTGCTGGAATGCAGGGTTTTTGCATTTCTGTTATTCTTTGATACGTTCAGTCGCATAAACTGATTTATTTAAGTCTTTTGTGTGCCCTGTTTGCCACAGAAATTGGATGCTATTATAGTATGTTTGTTTTTTAACTGTTGTCTGTCACCCGATAAAGAAGAATATGCTATTTATGAAAAGTTTTAATTCCTACCTAACTTAGAAGCAAGAAATAAAACGGTCTATAAAACTGCAATACTTTTTATTCAATTGCTTCTGATTGCAGGCTTCCATACTAAATCATTATTCTAATTCTTCATACTAGATTAGCACATAAGAATGCTACCCATGGACCAGGGTTTTATTGTATGAGGTTCTCTACAAACTAAGAATAAAGAGGAAGGCAAACCTTATCAGAGCTCTGTATGAGTCCCAAGATCTTGCATAAATATTCACAAGATATATTTATGCATATACAAATACAAAATGCACCTGTAGTTACCTGCATGTGTTTCAGCACATAATTCTGTAACTCCAGCCGTTAGATGAGGGCGAACAATGCTTATTTCAGCTGTTCACAATGATCCTTTTATATCAATAAGGATGAAAATATTTTCTAAATCAAAGACAGCTTACCGTATTATGAGTCTTACAATATGCCATGGCTTTCAGTCCTCTCCAGGAATGCTGGCTTTCCATTAAGGCTAAGAACTTCCTCTTTAAGGGACAGTCAAACATTATGATTTCCAAGAAAATAAATCTGCAAAATCTTACCTGCATTTCCCGTATATCTGTTCTTAGGAAATACTTGCTCTATGGTAAATAAATTGAATTGTATACAAGAAAGAGCTGCTGTAAATCATACACCTGCAATCAAAAAGAATCTCTCAAGACCAATATATGTAATATACTTTCTCAAAAATTTCTAACATTTTGAAGAAGCTAATGAAAGATACTGCTAAAACCTTTTAAGGCTGCTTAGATTCAGATCTAGAAATACCTGCAAATGCATAGAAGTAATGATTGTGGGTGCAGATATCCATTAAAGGGTAGCAGTTGTACTACTCATATGACAAAGCATATTTCTCAGACTTAGTTTCTCATAGTGGAAAAAATGTGCAAAGTACAAATCCCTTTAGCTGCATCCTGCAGGGAAGAAGGGCATGTTGGCAGTAGGGATTCTTCTGGACCAAATCATATCCTGTGCCTCATGGACCTAAGAAAATCTACAGCAAGAGCAGATGTACCTGCCCATAACATGCAGTACTGGTTCAGTTTGAGGAACCAAGGGGCACTGATAAGTAAATCCTCTGAGCGTTGCAGGGTAGATCTGCCACTCCCATGCTAGTATTGAATGCTGCATGAGCAAGACAACAGAGCCACCCTTACAGATTACAACCTGCTGTGTCTTCAGCACATGGTCCAAAACAGAAACAAGTAATAATACTGTGCTTCAGGTCTCATCTGTATTTCCCAGTTTTTCAGATAAAGACATACGAAAGTCTGGTGTTCAAAACCTTGTAAGTGTGTGGGTGTCTATGGATTACTGACAGGGTCTATGTTAAAGAAAAGGTCTGTGTAATCCTACCAACATCATGCTGGATCAAATTCAGCCCTGCCAGACTTGCAGCACATACATGAAAATTCTTTTTTTTCTTCTATCCTTTTAACTTATAAAATACCTTTATAAAAAGTTGTGATGTTCTTTGTGCTTTTATGAAGGATGAACCGGAACAGAATCAACAGTGCCTTCCTACTGAGTGACAAAACACTGCAGTTCCTGAAGATAACCTCAACCTTATCACCTCCTGTTGAACCCTCCACGCCTGTCTGGCTTATCGTATTTGGTGTTGTTCTTTGTCTCATTGTGGCTGGAATTTTTTTCCTTGTTGTTGCAGGGATTCAGCAACGCAAGAAGTAAGCTTAGCTTTTCTTCTGTTTTAACTGAATACTGGCAAGTTAAGTCAGCTGGGCTGGTTTTGCTTTTCAGATCAGCTTCAGAGAAATTATGGCTGTGTCCCCCCTCCCTCCATAGGTAAAGATAACCCATGTGTCCTTTTCCGAGGAAAGGAGTTAAAATTTTTAACTGTGAAGTATAGATGCCTTAGTAATGCTGGGGTGTAATGAGGAAATAGGGAGTACACGAATATGATCCTGGAGGCCACCTAGCTAGACATGACAGCTTTATAAAGACATTTGCTGTCATTCTTCTCAAGGTTTAGTGTGCCACAGGTGAGCCTCCTCTCACAGACTACCCAAATAGCTGCCAAGAGGGAGAAGGCTGGCAGTGACAGTGCCCCTTCCAGGGCAGTAGTGTCAAAAGCTGGCAGGGCTAAAAAAAATTTGCTGCTGCAGTTTGAGAAGCCTCAGTAGAGGACACGATAATGATTAATGTATGGCTGAAGAGGGCCTGCTCAATGGAACGGTGCATGGTCTCACCTACCACATCATGACCTGATGAGTCCAAAGTAGCCAGTCCTTCACAGGTTCATGACCAGATCTCCCTATGAGCCTAGGTGTTTGCTGTTTGGCAGTAGGGCAGGAGAGAGATACTCTCTTTTCCTCTCAGTTTCTGCCTTTTGGTGGCACTGGTGAAAAAGAGAAGGCTATTCATGCTTCCCTCGTGTGAGCACGTTGGAGCAGGCCAGAGAGTATGTGGAGTTTTGGTCCTGTCATCTCTGTGGGCTCAGAGTTGGGCATAAGGAATAGAAATTTCTCAACTGAGCTGAGATTCTGCCATAGAAGTTCAGCTTCTGCCACGATTTAGGCTGCGATGGATGTTAGGTTAACACAAAATTATGACTTCAGCAACAGAGCCATACAGGAACAGCAGAAGAACTAAAAAAGGGTAAATTTCTGCTGACAACTAGATGATGTTAAAATTACTGAATGTATGGTGGACTGCATCCCCAAATATATCAGAACAAGGGATTCCTATATGAAAAGTAGTGTGTTGCAGAGGCTTTTCCTTTCTGCCTCTTATCACCTTGAAGAACAATGTTAAAAGACCTCAAAAAAGCAACACTTATTGTGAAGGATAAGTGGTTCTCATAGAGAACCCGTAGTAGTGTGATCAGAATCCCTTCAGTTATATTTTGCATTCAGAAGAGTTGCATGAATTTGTGAAACCCCTTTCTGTTTTCTAAAAACAAAATTCAACAAACGATACATGAGAGATGCTGTTGG